GAAGGCTTGGTCATGTTGGAATGAAACAATTGAATAGACTGGTTAAGCATGACTTGGTTAGAGGCTTGAATGATGTTGTGTTTGAAAAGGATAAGCTTTGTAGCTCTTGTCAAGCCGGAAAACAAGTTGGAAACACCCATCCCAAGAAAAGCACGATGAGCACTAGTAAAGCATTTGAGTTATTGAACATGGATTTATTTAGGCCAACTCAATACACTAGCATTGGTGGTAACAAATATGGCTTTGTGATAGTGGATGATTATACTAGATACACTTGGGTATTCTTTCTAGTGGACAAAAGTGATGTGTTTGCAACATTCAAATCATTTGTCAAAGGCATTCACAATGAGTTTGAAACAACCATCAAGAGAGTTAGAAGTGACAATGGTAGTGAGTTCAAGAACACTAGAATCGATGAGTTGTGTGATGAATTTGGAATTAGACATCAATTCTCGGCCAAGTACACTCCAGAATCAAATGGCCTTGTTAAGAGGAAGAATAGAACACTCATTGATATGGCAAGGTCTATGCTTAGTGAGTACAATGTGAGTCAATCTTTTTGGGCCGAAGCTATCAACACGGCTTGCTATTGTAGCAACCGCCTCTATTGTCACCCATTGAAAGAGAAGACACCATATGAGCTCTTGAATGGTAGAAAGCCCAACATTGCATATTTTTGAGTCTTTGGTTGTAAATGCTATATTGTGAAGAAAGGCACAAGATTGGGCAAGTTTGACAAGAAATGTGATGAAGAATTCCTACTTGGCTACTCTACTACAAGCAAAGCATATAGAGTTTGGAATTTGGATAGTGGTACTCTTGAGGAAGTTCGTGATGTTGAATTTGATGAAACTAAGGGTTCACAAGAAGAGAATGAGAACTTGGAAGATGTTAGAGGCATTCAACTTTCAAATGCCATGAAGAACATGGATGTTGGTGAATTGAGGCCTAGGCAAGTGAATGATGATGAAGATGATCAAGTGCAAGTGCTCTCCAACTCAAATGTGCAAGATGATACAAATCAAGCTAGCACAAGTGGCTCTCATGACAACGAACAAAATCAAGTGGCTAGTACATCATCTCAACCCAATGATCAAGCAAGTGCAAGCAATCAAGTTCTAATACTCCAACCAACCAATATTGCAAGGGATCATCCATTGGACACTATAATTAGTGATATTTCTAGAGGTGTGCAAACTAGATCAAGATTGGCATCATTTTGTGAGCATTTCTCATTTGTGTCATCCATTGAACCAAAGAAGATAGATGAAGTATTGAAGGATGTTGATTAGGTGAATGCTATGCATGAAGAATTGAATAATTTCACAAGAAATCAAGTATGGGAATTAGTGGAGAGACCAAAGGGACACAATGTGATTGGAACCAAATGGGTCTTTAGAAACAAGCAAGATCAAGATGGGATAGTAGTAAGGAACAAAGCAAGATTGGTAGCACAAGGATATACACAAGTTGAAGGTCTTGACTTTGGAGAAACATATGCTCTGGTTGCTAGATTGGAAGCAATTAGAATCTTGCTGGCCTATGCTTGTGCCCACAACATCAAACTCTATCAAATGGATGTTAAGAGTGCATTTCTCAATGGTTACATCAATAAAGAAGTATATGTTGAGCAACCTCCTGGTTTTGAAGATGACAAGAAGCTCGACCATGTGTACAAGTTGAGGAAGGCATTGTATGGCTTGAAGCAAGCACCTAGAGCATGGTATGAGAGATTGAGGGACTTCCTACTCTCTAAAGGGTTCATGATGGGCAATGTTGACACCACTCTTTTCATCAAGAAGATTGGAGAAGATTTATTTGTGTTGCAAATCTATGTTGATGATATCATATTTGGATCAACCAATCAAGATTTTTGTGAAGAATTTGGAAAGATGATGGCTAATGAGTTTGAGATGTCCATGATTGAAGAATTTGGAAAGATGATGGCAAGGTGATTTTGGAATCAAGTTCAAGAAAGTGCCATTGCTATGTGACAATGAGGGTGCAATCAAGTTGACCAACAATCCGGTTCAACATGCAAGAACAAAGCACATTGATGTCCGCCACCATTTCATAAGAGATCACCAACAAAAAGGGGATATTTGTATTGAGAGTGTAGGCACCGAAGATCAACTTACCGATATATTCACCAAGCCATTGGATGAGAAAAGGTTTTGCAAGCTAAGAAATGAGTTGAACATATTGGATTTGTCAAATATGTGTTGATGCACCCCCCCACTCATATGACATGCCTCTCCTTCGAGCAATCCAAGGTAAAAGTTGATTGGCATGGCATACATCCTTGCTAACGACATGCTTCGTGCATCTAGTCATCTTTTACATTTAATAGGCTCATTCATGAAAATCAAATGAATTTGATGATTGTATGGTACCACTATTGCTTCTATGCTTGATTTGGTCTAGTGGTAGCATATGACATGTTGGTGGGCTTGTAAACCTAGTGTTTGATCTAGCAAATGAGCTATATGTTTGCTTGCATGACACAAGTTTTTTAAATTTCTATATCCATGCTTGTGTGGTGTATGCTAGTTGTAGGTTTGAATGATGTAATGAAAAAACTAGCATGCATAGGTTATCTAGTGATTTCATTTCCAAGTGGTATTGAGCTAACCATGGTGCTAAAGATGGTATATTGGTGCACTCTGATTGGTATCACGCTTCAAAGGTCCATCTTTTATACCTTAGCATCATTTGGTAGACATTGTCTCCTATATTTTCTATCCAAGCATATGTGCAAGCTACAATCCAAACTCTTGGCACATATGTAGGGGGAGCAATTGCTACCATTTGGAATTCATGAAACTTGTCCATATCCTTTTACACATGGTAAATATGTTTGGGCAAGCAACATGGATTCAATTGAATTTCAATTCATATCTTTGTGTAAGGGTTGTCATCAATTACCAAAAAGGGGGAGATTGAAAGCTCTAGTTTGGTTTTGGTGAATTGATGAAACCCTAAGTGCTAACCTAGTTTATCAAAATAATCATGAGATAGGTGGCACATTTCAAGTGGTGGAGCAAATGAAGATTATGACATGATGATGGTGATGCCATGGTGATGATCAAGTGTTTGGACTTGAAAAGAAGAAAGAGAAAAACAAAAGGCTCAAGACAAATGTATAAATGGTAGGAGCCATTTTATATTGGTGATCAAGACACTTAGTGAGTGTGATCACATTTATGATCGATAGCCGTACTGTTAAGAGGGGTGAAACTCGTATCGAAATGTGGTTATCAAAGTGCCACTAGATGCTCTAACTCATTGCATATGCATTTAGAATCTAGTGGAGTGCTAACACCCTTGAAAAATGTTTGTGAAAATATGCTAACACATGTGCACAAGGTGATACACTTGGTGGTTGACACATTTGAGCAAGGGTGAAGAAGATAGAGTTGAAAAGGAGTTAGTCACGCTGGTCACGCAGTGACCGGACGCTGGGGTCCTGTGTCCGGTCAATGGAAGTAGTGAAGACGCTGGCGTCGGTCTTCGACCGGACACTGGGTCACAAAGTGACCGGACGCTGATGGGTTGCGTTCGGTCCTGCTGACGTGGTAGCACACAGTGAAGAAGGTGGCCGATCGGACGCTGGGTGAGTCTGGTCAAGGGTGACAGGACACGTCCAATCGTGAAAAATCGTCTCTGGATGCTTACTGGAAACGACCGGACGCTAAGGTCCAGCGTCCGGTCACGTTCAAGTAGCGCGTCCGGTCACAACTTAAATGTACTAATGACCGTTGGGATCGTGCGATCAACGTTTGAAGCAGGGGACGCGTGGCACACATCGCGCGACCGGACGCTGGGGTCCAGCGTCTGGTCGATCTGACCTGCGCGTCCGGTCGCCCCGTGTTCAGTGAGTGAGGAGCCCAACGGCTCTATTCATGGGGGCTCTCTATTTAAGCCCCATGGCCAGCTCAAGCTCACTCTCTTGGCTATTTGCATTGACATAGCAACCTTGTGAGTTTAGCCAAAGCTCTCCCACTCATCTCCATCATAGATTCATCATCTTTGTGAGATTGGGAGTGAATCCAAGTGCATTGCTTGAGTGTTTGCATCTAGAGGCACTTGGTGTTCGTGTTTCGCTGCGGGATTCGCTTGTTACTCTTGGTGGTTGCCACCACCTAGATGGCTTGGAGCAGCGAGGATCATTAAGCGGAGGTTGATGATTGTCTCTGGCTCCGATCGTGGTGATTGTAAGGGGTTCTTGACCTTTCCCTGGCGGAGAGCCAAAAGGTACTCTAGTGAATTGCTCGTAGCTTGTGTGATCCTCATCTTGTGTTGGTTGTCTAACCGGTTTGCAAAGTGTTGTTGAAGAAATTTTTTATTAGGCTATTCACCCACCCTCTAGCCATTAGGACCTTTCAGCAGGTCACCCGTGCCGGTGCGCCGCTGAGCCCGGGCCAAGGCTGGTTCCACACCGAAACCCTAGGCCGGCGTGGCGGCGGCGCCGGAGGCCGGCCGCCTAGGCCGAGGTGCCGCTCCGTGGGGAGGAGAGGCGGAGGCGGCGCTCGGCGTTGTCGACGTCGGCGCACGGTGGAGGCGACGACAGAGGGTGACGTGGCGAACGCCACGAGAGAGAGCGGCGTGAGGGAAAAGCCCGGAGGTGGCGTCTCGGGCTGAGGTCGAGAGGACGAGGGAGATAATTTTCTCCCCAACAACTGTATATAAAGCGGACATTTGTAGGGCGGCTGGTGATTCAGCCGCCCCTACAAATGGACACAGCAGGGGCAGCTAGTAATACGGGCCGCTCCTACAAATAGACGTATTTGTAGGGGCGGCTCGTATTACCAGCCGCCCCTACTGTGCCATTTGTAGGGGTGGCTGCTGTGCTGGAGTCCGAGCACGCCACTGTAGGGGTGGCTCCATCACCAGCCGCCCCTACAAAAAAAATTATCCCATTGCTACAAACGTTTTTTTTGTAGTAGTGCATCTCCCAGCAGCGGCCGACGGCAAAGCTAGAAACCGATAGCTACATGACCATGGCCGCGGCGGGGAACGACGGCGACAGGGCCATCATCAGCGTTGAGGCCGCCGCCAGGAGGAGGTGGTCGTTGCGCGGCATGACGACCCTCGTTACAGGCGGCACCCGCGGCATTGGGTACGTATAACAGGGGGCACATGCAGGCTCTGTTTAAGTGTAACTGACTCGTACGCATGTATCCATGTGCTCAGGCGTGCCGTGGTGGAGGAGCTGGCGGCGCTGGGCGCGGCGGTGCACACGTGCTCCCAGAACGAGGCGGAGCTGCGGGAACGCCTGGCCGAGTGGGAGGCCACCACCGCCAAGACCGGCGGCATGACCGTCAACGGCCTCTACCCTGCTCATCGTCAGGACTAAAGGACTAAGCTACAACGGCCTCTACCCATGCCCTATGCTAGAACAGTACAGTGCTACCTAACCTAATGTCCCATCGAATCCAATGAAGCATAGAAGTCCACCGAAATATACATGATGACGTGTCAAGAGATTACTCAGCCAATCAACGACCTATTCGCTGGTTGGTTTCTAGGCTAATAAGCTCAGCTGATGCTGGTTTGTTGTGAGAGGAAAACACTGTTGGTAGGCTGATAAGCCCTGACTGAAACCAACAAGCGAACGAGCTACAAATAAGATTTTGCACTGTAGAACAATAGTACCACTGACTACCATTGCATGAAACCACCTCTAGGCTCTAGCTATGTAAGGCATGGTGGCAGAGATAACAATAGCGAACCAATCCCTGATTCCCCGTGGGGAATTGCCCTGGGTACGGGAATATGGGTACATTTATCCCCATGGAGGACTAAGCGGGGAAGAAACATCCCCCGCGGGGGCGGGTATGGTTGTGCAATCCCTATCCACGTTTCCCTGCGTCACCGTTTGCACAACCACTCACAGGGTCAGAGCCTGACTGTTCATTCACGGTCCATGAAAGCCCAACAAAAAGGGCTTTCGCATCCCCAATCTCACCCGCTCCCGCCAAGATGGCCGAGCAGGCGAGCAGGCGAGGCACATGCCGCACTTCTCTGCAGTCCTCCGCGTGACGCATCGCACGCACTCCCGCGTCCGTGCACCTGCCCCGAGCCACACATCACGCTTCCTCTTGCAAGTTACAGCGCCACAACGTACTTTTTGAAGCAGCCGCACGCTTTGGCTGCAATATTTGTGTTTTGGTTCCACGAGAGATCCTCAAAATAATTAAAGATAAATTTGTCTAGTGCGCCCATAAAATGCGTTTCTTTTCTAGTATTATTATACCAAAAGACTTGATCTACTACGATTACATAATCCGTATATTGCATAAATTATGTTTAATTTATCGATAATGCTGGCACACGAGCGTTCGTCCAGGCGTGTTTCGTTCGGACGGCTCGTTCCCGAGCCTGCCCAACGATCGGGCCCAACAGGCCTCCTCCGCTCCATCATCAGTATGACGCGGGTTTTCCAAAAAATAAAGAACATAGCGACATTTCCTTTCCCCACTGCCGCACGCATGCGACCGTCGCGGCCGCATCCACCACGCCGCCCGCCCGCCATTGGCCTTCTCCAACGCAACAGCCTTCCCGTCCGGACGCCGCGCGCCCATCCCGCGCCGCTCGCTCCCGCCCGTCGCGCGCGCCGCCCGGCCGACCGAGCCAAGCTCGGTGCTGCTAGGGATGGTGGTGGTGGTGGTGCTCGCGCGACGCCGGCTCCCACTCCGATGGCTAGAATCGCCTGGCCCCGGGCTCCCCCATGTTGCAAAGCATGTTTCAAGTGTTTCAGATGTTTCGTAAGTATGTTTCAAGTGTTTCTTGCGGATGTTGTAAAAATAGATTATGATGTTGCATATATTGCAATGATTCTACATGTATGTTGAAAGTGTCTGTTCCCAATATTTCATCTGTTTTGTTCAGACGTATGTTGCAATTGTGTTTATCTGGATGTTGCGTATGTTTCACACATATGTTGCAAGTGTTTTTATCTAGATGTTACATATGTTTGCAATGGTTTGTCAAGTGTTTTCATGTGTTTTTGTATACGCTACAGACGCATGTTTTGAATGTTTCAGCTGTTTCGTACGTATGTTGCAGTTGTTTTATTTGGAAGTTTCAAAAGTAGATTGGGGTGTTGTGCATGTTGCAATGTGAGCCACAGGCCGCAGCCACCTGCTGCAGTGCTGGGGCGCCGTGCATGGAGGAGAGCGGCGCAGCAGGCGTGAAGGGCGCGAGAAGCAGGAAAGCGTGGGGGAGTGGCGCGGGCGGGCCCCGTCTGTGCGTGCAATAGGCACTGGCGCGGGCGTTGCATTAGGCACGAGCGTCCGGACGCTAGTACTGCAATTAATTTATGCCATGTAACTATTTGCGCTATCCATTGCAAAATAGAAGATATTATACTTACCTCCGCTTCCAAATACTTGGCACTCACTTTATTTGTTTCAAAAAAAATATGTTTCCCTGAAATCTACTTTCGTATTTGCTCTTAAAAACTACTCCATCCGTTCCAAGTTATAAATCGCTTTGACTTTTTTGATACATCCATTTTGCCATGCATATAAATATAATAATACGCATAGCAAAATGGATGAACCAAAAAAGTAAAAGCGACTTAAAATTTGGAACGGAGGTAATACTTATATAGATGTTCTGAAATATTTTTTTTGAAACTGTTGTTCTAGAAATATTAACATATCTTTATAGCACATTTTAGTCATTTTTCATTCTAGAAAACATTACCTCCCTCCATTTTCATTTACTAGACATTTTTTTTACTGTGTGCATTTTTCTAAAAAAACGTAATTTGTCAGTGAACATAGTAACACTTTGTCGGTGCTATACACTTTGAAGTATAAAAAAACGAATGATCAAAAGTTAGCTCCATTGGAATTTAGGAGTCGGGTGACAAGTGCACAACAACAAAGGGAAGTAGATGCACCTCGTTAAACGTATTTAGCCAAAACTTGTAAGCATTTTGAAACAGAGGCTTAGCCGCTTCTCAAATCTCTACGGCCTCAAAAATCTGGAGGCATCGTGTATGATGCCACGTAAAGATGGGAGATCGATGGACACCACTATCGATCACATCGTGGCGTGGCTGGAGTGGACAGCCTCGATCGACGGCTCTACCCGTCCAGAACGGACACGTCCAAGAACGGGATCCCAGGGGCAAAACTGTAAAAAAGCACGGTGGGCCCTAGCCGGTCTCGCGTCTGGAGACTTTCAGATCAGATCGGGGAGGAGGAGCAGGAAAAAGAAACCAAACTCGGCTCGAGAGAGATCGCATCTGCCTGCCCACCTTCTTTCCTTCTCCTTCGCCCCATCGACGCGGCAGCCCGGAGACCGAGCAACCCACCACCGAGAGTCTGAGTCAGGGAGAGGAGCAGGCAGCCGGAGACGAAGAAGATGTCGTCGGTGTTCAGCGGCGATGAGACGGCCCCCTTCTTCGGCTTCCTCGGCGCCGCCGCCGCCCTCATCTTCTCATGTTCGTTCCCCCTTCCCCCATCCTCCTCTTCCACCCGCGCACTCAATCGATTCCGTACCCAAAGCTCTAGTTTTTCCCGAAGAAAGTTCGAATTTTTCACCGTCCATAGCTTGATCTGTCGCCGGGGTTCCGTGGTTCGGCTCGATCTGGCCGAGCCCCAGCTTCCGGTCAGCGCGATTCCGGGCGCGCCGGTGCTGGATCTGCCCGATTCGGTCCCGATCGGGTGCGGGATTCCAGAAATCGACGGGCTTTTTCGGTCGGGCAGCGGGGCAGGTGCTGACTGCGCTGTTGTTTTCGCTTGATTGATTGATCCGGCGCACAGGCATGGGCGCGGCGTACGGGACGGCGAAGAGCGGCGTCGGCGTGGCGTCGATGGGTGTGATGCGGCCGGAGCTCGTCATGAAGTCCATCGTGCCCGTCGTCATGGCTGGTGTGCTCGGTATCTACGGCCTCATCATCGCCGTCATCATCAGCACGGGGATCAACCCCAAGGCCAAGCCCTACTACCTCTTCGATGGCTACGCCCACCTGTCGTCCGGGCTTGCCTGTGGCCTTGCTGGGCTTGCGGCTGGCATGGCCATCGGCATTGTCGGTGATGCTGGAGTCAGGTAAAAAGCTCTTTATCTGTAGTGAGCATCATGGATTTACTCTGTCCTTTTGCTATTGTCTGCTATTAAATGACATGTCCAGAATGTTAATATTATGTTATTGAGTGCTACAAGGTTAATAGCATTAATAATGTGACTCCTCAATGGTGTTATTTAGTGCTCACTCGTTTTATCGCCATTTATAAGTCATAAGAACCTAAATCCATGTAATATAGGTAGTTATTAGCATTCAAATTCTTGCTCATTATTAGTCTAATGCCTTTTGTCCTGTTGGTCTTGCACATGAATTCTTTTTCTTGGGACTTAAAACATTTGAAAAACGAAATGTCTAAAATGATGCCTATTTTACAGTTAATAAGTATTCTTTCTGACTTTGAACTATTTGCTGTCAGTTTAATGATGGCATATATGTACTCTGTGTTGTACCCCTGTTTTGTTTCTGCTCTCTCTGAGACATTTTCCTTAAACTGATAAAATAGTTTTGATTAGAAAACATGTAGGTTTGGGATTCCTCTGTATCTTTAAGCTCCCCATAAATAATAGTTCTGTGGTGAGAGCGCTGCAGATTTCTTGTCTTTTAGAGTTAATAACTGTCTTGTTATTGCACTTCATTTTCACTGAAGTATGACCCTCCTAAGTTCTACTGTTACATGAACACAAACGTACTCTTGGATGACTACCAAATCGATATATGCCTATTTATACACTTGAAGGATGTTATGATCATCCTAAACTCCTTTATTTTCAGTAGCTCCAGATGAGATCGATAATCCCTTTTTTGATATTTCATAGAGAAGTTTGAAAATGCAATTATTATGTGTTTAGGTTCTTTGTTAGGTTAGATGCCTTCATGAGCTCTTTCTGTGTTTTCCTAAAAAAAAAGTCAGTAGCTTATGTATCTTTCACCTGGCATTTCTTCTTTTATGGAAGCAGTACATGCTTATGTGGGAATTGAAATGTTATTTTGACTTATTTTCTGTGCCACCGATTTCAGGGCAAATGCACAACAGCCGAAGCTTTTCGTGGGCATGATCCTCATCCTCATTTTCGCAGAAGCGCTTGCTCTCTACGGTCTCATCGTTGGAATTATCCTTTCATCCCGTGCTGGTCAATCCCGGGCGGAATAAGTGCACTACCATTCTGCGATTACCGCACTGCTATTCTGAGAGAATTGAAACTCTATGCCCTTGTCTAGTTTAATCTTGTTACCATGTATTAATGAAACAATCTGTAGCTGAAGGAAGTTGACACTTCCAGTCATGTTGGTTTTGGTGGTGTCAAGCAGAGGTTATTTTTTGGGTTAAGGTTGGATGGATGCTCCTGGGCTAAGTGGATTTAATTTTATCCTTGGTGAATAAAGGACACGGAATTGTAGCCAAATAATAACGTGATATATATGTTTCTTTGCCCCTTTACTGGATCCCGGGATTTTCATAGCATGTTCACCGCGGTAATTGATGGTTTGTTTCTGATGTTTTTGTTTTTAAGCCAAAGGTTGATAGGTTGTATGCAGCACAGAATCATCTCTGAATATATTGAAATCATGCTGCTAGAGATTCCTGCCCCTTGCAATTCTGTTGGGCAGTTGTTGGATCTATTACTCCATGAATTCACATGCTGATCTTTGTTTCGACTGGATTGGCTTATAAGCCATGGCTGAAAGTACTGCTGGCTGGTTTGGTATGAGAGGAAAACACTGTTAGCTAGCTGATAAGCCAGATACAGGCTGCCGAACATGCTGAAATAACTGTCCATGGTTATTTGTTGAGATTATTACTTGGTTCAACATCGTAGAAGTTATGGGAACCAAAGTGAAAGGAATCCTCAAGGTATAGTTCCCTACTGGTGCGTGGGGGAACACTACACATTATTGGCAATTGATTTACCATGCTCTCTTCTTATCAGTCAACTATTGTCTTAAATAAAAAAACAAAAAAGGGGCTTTCAATACCGGTACGAAGTACAAAAAGAACAGTTGTTGCCAGTTGCTACCAAGAAACATCCCTATGACCAGCGTCAGCGTCACTAGCTGTACAACTGGGCAAGGTCCATCTCGTATGCCTTCTTGATGACCTCCCTCTTGAGCTTGAGGGCAGCCGTGACGAGGCCTGACTCCGGCGTCCATGGCTCTGGTATCAACTTAATTTTGGCTGGGATCTCAAATTTCTCCAGTCGTGCTTGCTTAGCAGCCTGAAGAACAAGCACATATCACTAAAATCAAGTAATTATCATACAACACATCATGCGGTACTTATGATGCCCGCAACATTTGATTTATATAAAGTTGTACTGCTATGAGATATTATAGTATATATTTCCTTTGTATTTCTCAAAGAAAAATTGGAATAAAGAAGAGAATAATTGAGTCAAATGCAACAATTACTGAAGCATTAAATTGAAGGAATAATTGTTTTTTGGGGTGGCGTGGGGTGGGGTGGGGGATCAGGAATGAATTAACTGAGATGCAAGGAGAACACAAACCTTCACCAAAGATTGGAGGACTTCTTTGACTGTCCCTTGCTTCTGACACAAATCTGAGAAATCACTATATGTGATTCCTTGTTTTGAGGCCCAGTTTTTCAGCTCACTCTGTGCAGCTACAATAAGCGCGACACAGTAGTTGTGGAAGGGGTCAGCATGGATCATGATCTGGTCAATGTACGAGCACACACTCAAAGCAGCCTCCACCTGTGATTGTATTATTATTAGTTAGAATTGATTAACGACTTGTTTTGTTTGGTTAGAACAAAGAAGCCTGCCTACCTTTCCTAGAGAAACATATTCACCATGTTGAAGCTTGACTATATCCTTCTTACGGTCGATGATTTCAAGACATCCGTCTGGGTGCAAGCGCCCAATGTCACCGGAGTAGAACCACCGCATGCCTCTTTCGTCAACCTTTAAAAAACGCAGTGTTCAAGAAAAGTAGCCACAATAAACACTTTCCTGGACACTGGGTATTGTTGGAAACACACCTTGTACACCTCGTTTGTTTTTGCTTCATTTTTGAAGTAGCCTTTAGTTACATTTGGGCCCCCAATAACTATTTCACCGCGAGGCATTGGCACATCAGTTGTTAAGTATCCACCTTCGGCCCAGTCTACCAACTATCATGTTAGGAAAAACAATCGAGTCTGAAGCCAAGGGAAAATAAAATTACTCATACCACAAAATGAAAGAAGCCATACAAATAAAAGTGGACATGCAAAAAAAAGGTCATACTATGCAATAGCTTCTGTTTCTAGATTTGCACTTCAAGCATTAAGATATATTGGGCTTATCAGTGATCTTTATACAGCACTTTTTCTCGAATACTTTAATATGGTACTTGGCACAGGTAAGAAAACATATATCCTTTGCAACTACAGAAAATCTTCCAGACTTATTTCATCAGATAAGTAACAAGATCTGTTATCAACTGTACCATTATGAATGAAAATAATGCTTGTTGCTTTGGGAGATATATGTCAGCTGAAATATAGAGACAACTTTGGTTCTATACCTTAATGTATGAACAAGGCAGAGGGGGACCAACACGGCCAACAGATGTTTCATCATACTCTGAAAATGTCCCACCAGCACAAGTTTCAGTCAGGCCATATCCTTGCGATATTGGAGCCCTGAAATAACATAAATCACACTATCAATTTCTGCGCTGTAAGTATAACGAAATAATTGTATATTCATGTGCAAACTATTGGCTTGAGTGTTTGAATCCAAATTTGTGAAACAAAGTGGGCAACAGATGCAGTTGGCTTGCACATCTTGTGCACCTGTATTTTGTTACAATCAATTTAAATACAAAAAATAGCTGGGGGAGTTCCCCCACTGAGCCCTCAAAAAAACAGATGCAGTTGGCGTTACAACACAATTGATAATGCCACTGAAAAAAATAAGACTTAAATCTCACCCGAGACATATATTGATAAATCTCTGAGTATCCCCTGACAGAGGTGCTCCACCTGCAAGAATAAAGCGAATCCGTCCTCCTAAGGTTGCACGAACCTTTTGGAACACAAGCATATCCCACAAGAGCTTCTCTAGTCCCCATGCACCCAACCAGCTTCCATTAACAGCAGCTAGACGGCGGCTGTAGGCAATATCAAATAATCTCTTCGCTAACCCACCTTTTGCATCTACCTGAATTTATCTCAGCGTGAAAAAATAGAACAGTTGAGAGAACATGAAAGAGCCCAAAAAGCAATGCATGAACTAACAGTAAAGAACATTACGTTTTTTCGTACACCATCACGAACACGGTCGAGTATAGCAGGTACAGCGGTCATTAGTGTTGGCTTCAGTACAGAAGCATCACCCTGCGTCCCCTTTTTTATTTTATTTGATGTATCGGTCAGGGTCAAAGGTGACCCGTATCCAATTGAAGCCCCAACACCAGTTATGATTGCCTAAACATTCCAGTTGCATAGAGTGAGTGAGCATAAAAAAGAACAACAATGTGGAATAGACTGACATGCCATGTCAATGCTTACCTCAGCTGCCAATTCAAGGATATGTGCTAGGGGAAGGTATGCCAGGTACACATCCTTCTTGCCAAGACCGGGCACAATGGTCATAACAGCTGAAACTACAGCCAAGACATTTTGGTGGCTCATCATGACTCCCTGTGAAAAATTATACAAACAAGAATGTTGCCTCAATCAGAAGAAGTTGTGGAGTAGATTATCTCAGGAAAACAACATTGATAAGTGCACACACCCTGAAGTGATCTAACATGAACACTGGGAAAGAGAGTTTATTTCATATCTGCTGCAGAATCAAAATGAAGATGTTGAAATACTAGGATTTGAACAAACCTTAGGCATTCCTGTGCTCCCACTCGTATACATAATCACTGCAGTATCTGATGGGAGAGGCAAGTTTTCCTCCACAGGTCTTTGCAACCCTATGCTCTCTACCTCCTCAAATGACTTGATGGTCCAGCTAGTACAGTTTTGAGCCAAGGATACTTCAGCCGAGACACCTTCCTCATTAATGTAGACGACATGTTTCACAGTGTCAAGTTGCCCACTTATATCAATCAGCTTTTTAAGTTCTTTCCGTCCGCACACAACAGTGGTTACCTCAGTCTAAAGAGTAAAACTAAGAATAAGAACAGCTGAAAGTGCAACAGTGCCACATATAATAGGTATGGCTTTGTAAATCCTTAAGGAACAACATTTGAGAATGAATGCCAGTATACAGTGGCCATAAAAAAGAGAGATGCCACAGCTAACAAAAGCAAAAAAAAAAAAATCAATTGTTGTAAGGGCCTGAGGATGGTATAAACAATGGTTTTGAATATATAGACAACACTGGATGAAGTAACCCAACCTCATTTAGTGAGTGACATAGCGCTCCCTCCCCCAAAGAGGCATAGATTGTGACAACTGCAATATTTTGTCTGAAGCATGCCTAGCAAAGAGAGGAATAAAAGATTATAGATTTAGCAATAGATTTGCCGAGCTAAATATTAACTCAATGTAAATAGCATAGGTAAAATGTGGTGGCAAATTCATTTAGCACAAAAAAACATAAGCAAAAGTGCAGAACAGCATAATATATTTCCGCATTAAGTACCAATGTCATTGAATGAAACCGGTCTTCATATGAGTATATGACAGTACAAATAACTTGTTAAATCTTCATATCCCTATCATTATCACTGCCCATTCATCAAGAAGAGTACCATCACTATGTTTCTAGAATAATGCAACCTATGTGTATTTGCAAAGCTTATTGTATTGTGAATGAGATGATGAAGAAACTTGAGGACGAATTTGCATTATCCAAACTGCACTTCAGATATTTGATGCTCGATAGCATCTATATTTGCCAATATCGGTAAATTGGTTGGGAAAGTACCTGCAACGCAATCTGCCACTCAGCCCGTGTATCAGAAAAAATAGCAACACGCTCATCCTTCAGGTGCCCAATCCGCAGAAGACCAGAAGCGAAATTGCAGACAGTTTTGAACGCATCAGCGTAGCTCTTCCACTCATAATTTCCCAAATGGAGCTTCTCAAAGGATCTTCCATCAGCAGCCACTACCATTTCTCTCGCAACGAGCTTCCTAGTGCCAAATAGGGGCATGCAGGCAAACCGCTTGCACGATTGCTCAAATAGCTCAGCAAGCGTTGAAATCCCCTCCCAGAGCGTCTCGATAGGCCGTTCAAATCTGTGGTTACGGATGGCGCAGCCAGGCTCTCCACCCACATTGGCTGGCACACCCCTCTTCTTCTCAGACTTTCTCTTGCTGAGCAGGAGAGATGCCACAAAAGGGAGAATGAATCCCAAGAAATACGGATTCATATTGCTACTAGTTTATTGAGTGCCAGTAGGCAAAACTTATTCGCAGAGGTCTTGGAGTCAGAAACCTGCAATAAGATTTAACTGGACAATTTTAGTTGTGAATGTTAATAGTTAGAAAAAATGGGTGAAATACTAAACAACAGCGCCAGCTATATGATTAATTTTCTCTTGTACACATTACGACTACAACTACGCATGCTGAGTAGCTGCCTACGCGCACAGAACATGACATCCTCAAAAATTTACAGAATCCCACTAAGCATTGTTTGGAGCTTCAGCGAGCGTATGTTCAGAGTGGCATTTGGAACTTCAGTTCTTGAAAGGGCAACAACCTCAGTTCTTTAACACGGAGGGAACAAAGCAAGAATTTCTGGATCACTATTTACCCCCAATCAATAAATCAATGCAATCGCTCGAGTCCTACCACTCGGGCGGTGGCTATGACTGAACTGGCAGTAAACTGAAAGTACCCTCTCCTAGCAAGGCTCGCATAGCAGTGTAAACGCAACCACAGGTTCCATGCGCAGAGAACTGTGCAGCAAGCACCCCAGAGCAGAGAGAGCCCACCTTGGCGGCGAAACGCGCAGTACGACGACGACCCCCGACCGGACCCCGAGCTACGGAAGTACGGATCCCAAGCTGAGTCGAAACGAACAGAGCCAGAGCGCGCACGTACCTGCGCGCGTGAAATGCAGGGTGGTAGCAGGCGGGGGCAGGACGGCGCGGAGACTGAGGAGAGAGGGAAGGAAATAAGGCGCGCGGTCGGGCGGAGAATCCGAAGACGCCGGCGCCGCCGAGGCCGGCCGGCCGTTTTTTCTTTTCGCTCTCGCATCACACGGTCTTCGTCCTGTCTCGCTTCTGGAGTCGGGTGACTCTTGGGATCCACGGTCCTGGCCGAGCCATCACCATCAGGTTCTCTGGCCTTTTGGGCCACTTTTGCTAGGCTTTTCTGTTTTGTCTGCCAAAAAAAAACCTAATTAGGCTTTTTTGGTAAAATAAAAAAGAAAGAAGTATCGCTAGGCCAGCACGAAGCAGAATATATTAACTTCAAAAGATTGGTATTCATAGATATGTTATGGGAAAATTTTCACAATAAAACTAGACTCCTAATTTGGACTAGCTATTCTTTTGAGAATTGTCAGTAAAAGTTGGCACCTTAATCACCCGTCAGATATTTACAGTTGTCTGTAGCTCCGTGGAGTCATTCACCGTGCATTATTGCTTTAAACTTTTATAGGATCAATATCAAGCTCCCACCTTTGTCTTCCAACCCCAGTGATTGGCAATGGCGCAATGCTGAGCTAACTTGTTGCCGGTGTTTGGATTTAGGCTTTGTGAAGAGGGTTTTGGATATGGGTATCAGATTATGCGATATCTATGCCTTCTTACCTCACATTTTGAAACCTAAGATCTCCAAGAGTAAGAAAAAAATAAGTAAAAAAACTATAGTTTTCAGGTGCCCGCAAAAATATATTGGATGGAAAAAATTAGTTCCTCTAAGAGCACTCAATTTTTTGTGCCTAAAGCCTACTATATCATCATGTGGCCTCACCAGTCAACTCTAGCCACATCCAACAACTCTCTCCGTTCTTTTTATATGTCACATTAGTTTTATCCTAAGTTAAACATTACTATCTTTGACCATCCATTCCAAAAAATCCTTATAGTTTCATAATTGTATGAATTATATAGCATGAAACATTTCTCATAGTGAATCTAAAGCCACAAATCTTGTATCATGAAACTGTATACAAATTTTAAAACCGATGGTCAAAGAGATACAAACATTTGACTTAAGATAAGGCTAATACGATATGCAAAAAAAAAAAAAGAGACATCAAAATAGGATGATTATTTAGGCGACCATTGGAAGGGTATCCCCCTCCGATCCCCCGTCCTAAATAAATAGGGTGATAATTTTTTGCTGTGATTTTTAGACACTCTTGGAGATGATCGAAGGGTGATAAATAGGAGTTATATATGAATAAGAAGCATGCCACTTTTGATTGGCAGCTCCTTCCTTTAAGAAGGTTATTATTGTGGTTATTTGGTAATTGGTATTCATTTACGTATTATAATTAAATTCATCTCATACTAAACAAAGGAAAGGATAAATAAAAGGAATACAAGCTTTTATTCCTATCACATACCATCTATTTCTATTCAGTCTCATCTCCATTCGCAAGCCCACATGATAAGCTCTACCTTATAGGACTTACGGAGTATAAGACAAGAAGTTAGATAAAAAAAGTATTTGCCAGTTTCTTGAAGAAGGGGGTTAATCATGAATTTGAGGTCTATGTGGAAATCAAAGGTTAATTGTTTCAAACAGGAGCTTAATAATAGATGAGCTAATATTTTAGCCAAGCCTCCAACCAGTTATTAGCCAACTAGTTAGCTAATCCCAGCTAACTTGGGCTAATTTTTAGCCCTAGCTAATAACTAGTTATAGCTGATCTAAACATACGCTTAGTTTGGGTGAGTTTGAGTCCTTACTGCCAATGGGATAAGAGAGCTACTATTTAGTTTGAGTCCTTACTGCCAATGGGATAAGCACTTTTTCTATGAAAGGGAAAACACTTGTGGCTATTGGAAGGGTGTTTTAGCTTTCGAATTTTTTTTTTGGAAGGGTGTTTTCCCTATGCTTTATATTATATATGATAAAAATTTTGATAAAGAAAAAATGATAAAGCATTTGGCTCTTTGAGGGAAATCCACTCCACTGTGACGGTATAAAATTTGGAACTTTTTTTTTTCCATCGCAAACCTTTGATTTGTATAGTTGAACCTGAATCTGTCCTCCTACAAGTATAGGTAGTCAAAAGTCAAACCACGCACGCAAAATGCACCTCTGGACGCCTCAGGCCATTCAATCAGGTGGCTGGCCCGAGCGGCCGCATGCGCACCCACGCGGCGCTGCTGCTGGGCACGCCGGCGTGCACCACGAACCACATGTAGTACCCGGGCGGCGCCACCCCGGGCGTCGGCGGCCCGGCGACCACGGCCTCGTAAACCCCGACCTCCAGCTCCGCCACCCTCCCCACGGCGAGCTCCACCACGCGCTGGTTCATCCCGAACGAGTGCGTCGCGAACGCCGGAGCCACCGCGACCACCCGCACCACCTCCACGCCCGCACCCGCACCTTCCGCCACCATTCCGGCGGGTATCACGAACTTCACGGCCGTCGCCTCGCCGTACCCGACCTCGTCCGGCGCCAGCAGCAGCCGCGGCCGCGCGCCGTCGTGGCGCGGGTCCATGTACGGCGGCAGGAATGCCTCCAGGCTCAGCTCCGTCGGGTACGTGACGTTGGCGAACACGTACCCGACGTGCGGGTTGCTGCCGCCCACCAGCACGCGGCCGTACGTGTCCAGCGCCGCCGACGAGTGGTACATCCTTGGCACCGCCGACGCCGCCAGCGGCGAGGACGCGTGATCGAACCGCGCCCCCAGCGGCGCGTCGGGCCTGTACAGCAAGGGCCGCATGACGGGCTCCCGCCCCAGCTCCCACCCGGCGGTGCCCGCGGCCGCGCCGTTCACGATCAGCACGTCGCCCGTGGGCAGCAGCACCATGTCGCCCATCACCCTGGCCATCGGCATCTCCTCGATCGCCCACACCACCGGGTCCGGGTCCGTCGGCGCGACGCGGGCGCAGGTCCGGTCGGCGGGCACGAACGTGCCGTTCCGCAACGCCAGGTGGTACGCGCCGCGCGGCGCGCCGCCGCAGACCAGCACCTCGGCGTGCGCGGGCGCGTCGGGGTGGAGTGGGAGGAGCACGGACGAGCCCGACGACGGGTAGTTCCTCGGTACGCCGCCCGGGACGGCGGGGAGCCGACGGAGCGGGGCGTGGTTGTAGGGGTCGAAGACGACGGCGCGATCGTTGGCGAAGACGAAGACGGTGCCGTCGGGGAGGAGGTGGAGGAACGGGTACAGGTTGTTCTCGGCGTCGGGCTCTGTCGTCTCGTCCAGGAACGGGAAGAACGTCAGCGCCGGCGCCGGCGCCGCGTCGTCGTGCGGGAAGAACTCGAGGTTGAACTGCCGTCGTCCGCCGAGGATGAGCACGCGGCCGTCCGGGAGGATCATGTCGGTGGCGTACCACCTCCGCGCGGCGAGGAACGACGGGAGCTCGACCCAGCCCGTGGCCGGGGAGAAGAGCCGCGCCACGCGGTCGCCGTTGGAGAAGCCGCCGGTCTGGAGGAGCGTGCCGTTGGGGAGCAGCGCCCCCGAGGAGCACCACGGGTTGGTGGCCAGCGGGTACGGGTGCAGCACGTTGGAGCGGAGGTCCAGGAGCACCGAGTGAGCCGTGCAGTCGGCGCCGTCGGCGGTGGCCGCGCACGGCGCCAGCGCGGCCAGCGAGATGTTGGAGGGCCCCGTGTCGGTGCGGTCGAACATCAGGACGAAGTTCCCCGGCAGCAGCTGCACGTGCATCGCCGAGACGCCGATGCTCGCATGGAGGAGCTGCCATTCTCCCTGGAACGACGACGGCGTGGTGGGCTCCTGCAACGGGGCATCATCGGTGGCAGCGGCGGCGTTGGCGATGCAGCTGGCGATCAGGAGGAGGTGGAGAAGGAAGGATCTTGGCTTGGGCATGGCTGCTGAGCATGCACGCATGCGATCTTTAAGCCTTTTCATGCATCCTTGCGATGTGATAAGCTAAAGGTGTAGGGTGTACCGAGTGTGTTCCATCGCATTGTGATGTCGAGTTGGGTGGAGGGTTGGTACAGGGAAGGTTGTGGGGAAATGGGGAATACGCATTTGATGCTTGGAACCGGGTATGCGATTTAAATTGTACAAAAATTTTGGACTCAACGGAATTAGGTGAATCTTGCAATTTTTGGACCTGCATTCATTCTGTTGACCAGTGAAAATATTCATGTTTAGCTAATAATTTGCTAAATTTTTGCCAAAATTCGATCAAGAGGCCGGCATAATTAAAGAGGAAACTAATGATTAGGAGAAGTTTGCACTTCTACGGTGAAAGAAGAACTTGCGAGTTTGTTTGAACTTTAGACACTAGACTAAAAGTTCAAATTTTGTTCAACTTTTTGACTGGTGCGATGTTGTTTTAGCCCTCACTGAAATAGGTGAATTTTGTAGAAATTCAGATGTTTCGGACCAAATCCCAGAAATCTTCCATGACAGAACCACCCAATTTATAAGAGCTCAATTGTGATGGGCGACATCCTGTTGAGGGTCCTGAAGGACCTGGATGACACCATTTATGGTAGTCTGGGATAGAGTACAACACATTGATACATAGGGTTACAATAGAAGTGGTTTACAAATTAGAGTGTGGAAGTATAATTTATTACAGTAACTTGATTCAAATATAAGTAGTTCAAACCTACCTTGAAACACTCAAAATCAAGCGAGCCGGTAAAAGGATGTTCATTACGCTTAAGATCAACATGAGAACTGAGAGATGTTAGAGCATCTTCATGGGATTAAGAATAAAATGATCCCCTTTTTGTAGCTAGTGATAATAAAGATTGAAGGCAAAGAGTAAACTCCACCAGACCCATTTCTAATCTCCTTACTCTATTTTTTTTATTAATTGAGAAAACCACCCCCTTAACCCTCAAAGGCAGATCAAATGAACCCCCCTTCTCTTACCCTCCCCGCAAGCAGTGGTGTGTAGTGGCTAGAGATGTGGCGAAAGTGGCGGTCACGACGTCAAGGCAGCAGCTAGAGACACCACGACCAAGAAGGCTGGAGGTGGCGACAAAGGGCCTCATTGGGGAGTTGTGTAGCGCGTGGGCTAATAACTGTTTCACTATGCTAGGCAGTGAGCGTGCGGGCCGGCCATTCCGATCACCAAGCCCAGGAGCCACATGGAGGGCGATTGGGTGATTGGCGGGCAAGCAGCGCCGACCTCCACAACGGCGAGCAAGGCTGGCCACCATGTGGGCTTGCCGTGTTGGCCTCCAACCATGTCGCGACATGGGTGGGCGAGACCAGGAGAGAGACCATGCTACTGTCGACTGCCGTGTAGTGAGACCACATGGGAGAGCAGCACCGCTCGGCCGTCGCTAGTGATGGCTATGCCCGGACGAGGCCGCTCGCTTGACGGAGTACGAGGGGGTGGTTATGGCTTTTGAGGGAAGGGAGAGATGAACATTAGAAAAGAGAGGAGAGATGAAGAAGGTGACAATAAATATGGCCACTAACACGAAGGGAAAGGGCATGAATCTTTTCTCAATATGATGCTGTACACTTCTCTTGTTTTCTACAATCTTGTTTTCTCAATCTAGTAGAGATGCTCAACTATAGTGTATATGTGGTCACTATCACAAAAGGAAGTCTATTAGCAGGGGCGAAGAATTGGTAAGACCAACTTGTGCCATGACCGTGCCTAAATTCTTAATTCTTCTTAATAAACATACACACAGTAATCCATGGTTAATTGAGTTCATGCATCATGCATGTATTGTTAGTGGCCCCCTTTTAGGATGTTGTTTAAGCTCTGCCACTGTTAGGTAGAGTGGTGAGCTGTAGTCGTTACAGATTCGCATAAGTTGTTAAAATGAATTTTCATTTTTCTTGTTAGGTAGATTATTTTCAGCCCCCATTTTTCTTATATCGACGCAAGAAAATGAAGCTAATTTGGGTGTATTGACAAGCTTGTGTTCTCGATAATACAACTTAAACTGACAATTGCTAGTGGTCAAAATTGTTAGTGCTCCCCGGTACAACTTTAAGATTAGTCTAAATTTCAGAAAAAAAATAATAATTTAGACCGACAGATGTTAATCATAGTACATATAGTATCTTTCGGAATAGATCACCAAGAGCTTGAATTATTATTGGTTTGGAGTTCGCACAGGCTCATGGCATGCATGCCCATTGCTGTCATGCCCTTAAGATGACAAGCATTTGGAGTTTCATGAGTAGATACATATAGGTAGGTCACTTGGATAGTTGAGAAACTGATGGTAAGAAAGAATTTATTATACAAATATAAATGGTTTAGGACATCTTTATAGTTTATATATAGTGCAATACTTCAACTAGCATTTTGTATTAGACTTATGTCCCTGTACAAAATTCCTTTCGCCAAGTCTATTAATATGTGTAGTAATTTTGTCATTATTTAATTGGCAGCAGGCTGCATTTGGTTCATGTCCACAACTTTCCACACCCCAAGTCAGTAGAGTTCATGCGAGAACTAGCATGCAAAACTTTCTTAGCCATATGCACACATATTATAGTCATTTTGGAGTATATTATTGCTCAAGATTGTAACTATATTGCTGATTAATAACAAAGGCCCTCTCTTCGCCAAAAAAAGAGATGCTAAACTTTGCTACAATCGTGGCACTGGATTTCTTGGCTATAATTTTTGTGAATGCGGTAGTTTATTTAATCTTAATTTTCTTTGAACTTTGTGGGAAAGCTAAGCATCAACCAAATAGGCCATCGGTTTGTTTTGTGGCCAAAGGTTTAGCGTGCCATGCATGCTTTATGCACGGGCATGGCTAATGCTCGGACGTTCGGACGTGTGGCAGAACCGCCTAATCTAATGCCTCCTAGTAGTACTTATCTTCCATTAGACAATAAGTATCCAAGAGAGGACACTAAACTACACAGTTCCGTCGAGCACACCCCAAGGGAGAACTCAAAAATCCACATTTTTCTATCAGGATCACAAATGAGAGAATAAAGCTTCCAACGTTCTTAAGTCATTCCTTACATTACTTTATTATAATACCAGAATATTACCTCAATTTATTATACAGTGGAATCTAACAATGTTATCAGAGTTACAGAGGAAACAAGATTAATTTAATGACATGGTGAAGCATTAACATAGTGGACATTTATATACAAGAGATGCTAACAGATTTTACATCTTTTCTTATAAAAACCTTTCGTGAGTGTTATAAATAAACACTACGGTCATAGCTGAAAGCTCTAGTTTGATTTTGTTGAATTGATGAAACCCTAAGTGCTAACCTAGTTTATCAAGTGATCATGAGATAGGTAGCACACTCTAAGTGGTGAAGCAAATGAAGATCATAGCATGATGATGATGATGGCATGGTGATGATCGAGTGCTTCGACTTGGAAAGAAGAAAGAGAAGAACAAAAAGCTCAAGGCAAAGGTATAATTTGTAGGAGCTATTTTGTTTTGGTGATCAAGACACTTAGAGAGTGTGATCACATTTAGGTTTGATAGGCGTACTATTAAGAGGGGTGAAACTCGTATCGAAATGCGGTTTTCAAAGTGCCACTAGATGCTCTAACTCATTGCATATGCATTTATGATCTAGTGGAGTGCTAACACCTTTGAAAATGTTTGTGAAAATATGCTAACACATGTGCACAAGGTGATACACTTGGTGGTTGGCACATTTGAGCAAGGGTGAAGAAGAGAGAGGTGAAAAGGAGTTGGTCTCGCTGGTCACAAGGTGACTGGATGATGGTCTCAGAGGGAACAGCGTGTCCGGTCAGTTGTAATAGCGAAGACGCTGGTGTCGGTCAAAGGACCGGATGCTGGGTCGCTCAGCGACCGGACGCTGGCATGCTGTGTCCAGTCAAGTTGATGTGGCAGCACAAAGGAAGACACCGTGTGACCGGACGCTGGCTGTGTCCGATCAAGCATGACCGGACGTGTTCGGTCGGGAAAACCGTCTCTGGAAGCTTACTGGAAACGACCGGACGCTGGGGGTTCAGCGTCCGGTCACTATTCGCTGCTGCGTCCGATTATCTTCTGACCGTTGAGATCAGGCGAATAGCGTTTGAAGCAGGGGACACGTGACAAAGATCTGAGGACCGGACGCTGGGGTCGAGCGTCCGGTCAATATGCCCGGAGCGTCCGGTCGGCCCATGTTCAGTACAGTGAGGAGCCCAACGGCTCTATTTCGTGGGGACTTTTATTTAAGCCCCATGGCTGGCTCAAGCTCACTCTCTTGGCCATTTTCATTGACATAGCAACCATATGAGCTTAGCCAAAGCCCTTCGACACATCTCCATCATTGATTCATCATCTTTGTGAGATTGGGAGATAATCCAAGTGCATTGCTTGAGTGTTTCCATCTAGAGGCACTTGGTGTTTGCGTCTCACTGCGGCATTCGCTTGTTACTCTTGGTGGTTGCCGCCACCTAGATGGCTTGGAGCAGCAAGGATCGTTGAGCGGAGGGTGGTGATTGTCTCCGGCTCCGATCGTGGTGATTGTGAGGGGTTCTTGACCTTTCCCCGGCAGAGAGCCAAAATGTACTCTAGTGGATTGCTCGTAGCTTGTGTGATCCTCATCTTGTGTTGGTTGTGCGGCACCCTATTGAGGGTTTGGCGTGTGATGCCAATTAGCGCATGAACTTCCAAGTGAGTGAATCGTCACAACGAGGAGTACCTTGCCGGCAAGCAAGTGAACCTCGGTAAAAATCATTGTGTTCATCATTTGATTCCGAGGTGATTGGTCTTCATTGGTATTCATCATTGTGATTGATTGGTTCACTCTTCTACACGGCGGTATAATCATCTTGCTCATTCTCTCTAAATTACCACAAACTAGTTGTCAAGCTCTTTAGTGTAGCTAGTTGTGAGAGCTTATTGGTTTGGTCAGTGTAGCTCTTTAGTTAGCTTTTGAGAG